CCACCATCGCGTCTATCCATCGATATTATAATTTTATGTACGCTTTCACATTTTCATTCCTTTTTATAGTTCGTGCGACTTATCGACGGCTTTCATTTCCTTTTCTCATTGACACAAAGTTTTTTTATGTTTATTTATATGAATATAATTGACATGAAATTCTATAGAAGAGGAAAATCTTTTAAGGAGCTAGTATGGACAGAAGTTAATTTACTAAGGTTAAGCGCATCCAGAATTTTTGACAAAAAAAAATATTGTAATAGTAAATTAAACCCAAGGGTGTGGTACTGATGAAATGATCAAAAATGATCAAAAATGATCAAAATTGATCAAAAATGATCAAAAATGATCAAAATGTAATTATTCAGTTCCACACCCTTGATTAAACCTAAAAAGGTCCTTTATTTTACACAATTGGATATTTTAAAAATAAAAAAAATTGTATTTTTAACAAAATGCTTCCAGCACAGTTCGATACCATAAACAGAGAGATTTTAGTGCTCGAATTTTCAAGTATCAAGAGCTTTTTTCTTGTTATTAAGTCAGTCAGCCTCGTGCTTCCTCTTATTTCCTCCGTCATCTCCTTCTTTCTCAACAGCCAAAATCCTCTTCTTTGTTTATTAATAACAAGAAGATTTTACTGCTTCACAAAAAAAGTCTTTTGAGGAAGACACAAAATAGTAAATTAAGAAGATGAAGACAGAATTTTTTTTTCTCTCATCTTTGTTGTTGTCGCTGTTATTATAATCCGATGAAATTTGTTTCAGTACTTCGAGAATTCAATGAGAAAGTTTCAGCACTTCAAAGTTAATAAAGATTGGGATAAAATTTTATATTAAAAATTTATGATATGTGGAAATTGATATTAATATTTTTAGATATGGAGCTGAATCGTGAAACTTATTTATTATACAATACTTTAAATTTATTGATTTATTGATTGACTTTTCACAAATTTTTATGATGGCAATTTTATACACTTATAAAAATATTTTAAAAATTCAAATTTTCCCACAAATCATTTAAATTTAAAAATTCTGAAAAACAAACAGCATCATTATTTTTACAAAATTTTGGTTACGGCAAAATACAGCCTATGTAATTTTCCCCTTTACAAAATCAATAACCCAATATCCGACGTCATCCACTCTTCATCAAATCTAGAACAACAAAAACTCAACCACCCGTAAGCAAGAAAGTTCAGTTACTTTTGTTTACTGATCATTAATCAAACAGCAACTAGTCAGAAGAAGAAAGAAAAACTAATTGAAGATTCTCTACAACCTAATTAGCTGATATATTTTTTTTTTGTTGGCTGAGCACGCTTCATAGAATTAAGAAAAAAAGTTTTGATGTTACGAAAGTCATTGGCTTTTTATGTCCATGTCTCTTATCTTTAATAAAAGCCAAAAATTAGGAACACAAAAAAAGTTTGAAGTCGCAAAAAACTCTTCTTTTTGGTAGACTTTCTGTAACTATTGAAAGATGAAAGCCAGCGGAAATATAATAAAGAAACTGGAACAAGAATGAAAGATGAACGAACTATTCCTAATTTGTAAAGATGCCAAAAGTTGTTATACTTTATGATCCAGTGACATGGTTTTGAACTGAATGTTTTTTTTTTGCAGAAGCTTTTAAGCATTCTTCTTTTCCATTAAGAACTTAAAGGATGGAGCGATTTTGTCATTTAATGGCGGAAAGTCAAGATGACTTATTGAAACTTTATCAATTAATTCAGATATTTTACTCTAGTCATTACTAAAAGGATTAAAATAGCCATTTAAACTAGACATAATCGTTCAAATTGAAAACGCTTTTATAGACTTCAAAATAATAAAATTTGTTACTTGGGCAGTCTTTATGTCTAAGGCACAATGTGTCTGTCTAAGCTATGAGCCTAATTGAAACTAAGCTTGTTTGTTTCAAATATAAGACTTACGTTTTATTTTGGATTTTGTTGTTCCATTTGATGGCATTTGATTTTAGAGCCTGTGGCATAAACCAAAGCAAATTAAGTTACAAATACTCAAAAGAGCACTTTTATTGAAAGCTGAATACAACAGGCTTCAAAAACTAGAAACAACTACCCCTTTTACTGAATTCTATCGAACATTCGTTTCTAAAATTTGTTTATTCTCATCACGAAGATTCTAAAGAAGACTCAATAAAAAAATAAATGATGCGAGACTTAATGAGCTTGCCATAAATTTTATCAAAAAAAAAAAAAAAAATCTTCATTCTTTTCCTTGTTCGAAATAATAAAATTCACACACGAACACACTTAATTTGACATTATAATAAAAATAAACCAGATGACTGTGAAATTATGCAGACCAATAGATCACACGACAATATTTATTTTTTGAGCAAGAGATGATTCTTGGTATCTATGGACTTTTCTTTGATAGAGGTCAAAGGAATTGCTTAAAATCAAAGAGTGTAAACTAATTTGGATAGTTTTCAGATTTTAGTGATGTTTAATAAATTGACAATTTGAAATATTTGTGAAGAAAATTCCACCTTTAAAATTCAATAAATTCTTAAAATTTATCTTTATTATCCACTGTAAAAATTAAACAAAAACCAAACTTAAAGCAAAGTTTTGGGCAAGATCAAAAAAAAAGGGAAAAAACTTTATATGCTGATTTCTCTGCTTGCCAGCATCCAATTTTAATGATTTTTTCACAGGTCGATAGATAATTTCAGAAAGTTTAACTTTTTAATTTATTTTTAAAAATGGCGACTTTACAAGTCTAAAACTCAATTTGTTGAATAAATCGCTTTTTAACCGAAAATATTAACTCTAATTGACTGAAAACAATTAATAAGTAGCTAAAAAGTCATTTTCTATAGAAATTGTATCTGTAAAAGGCATTAAAATGAGTTAAATTAACTCAAAAACATTGCAATTTTAATTGAGCAACATGTTTTGCTCAATTTCGCTCAGAATTTCATAAGAATTTTGAATTTTTTAAAACCGTTACAATTTTCTTGGTTAATCTTTTTAACATTTTATGATTTTGAAGGCTTTCCATAAAGACTTTAATTTTTTTCTTTTGCAACAAGATGCATCTTATGTTTTGCTATAGTTTTACATTGAAAAATCATTAGAACAATAAAACAGCAAAAAGTTATATCTAGTTTTGTAGAATTCATTGTAACTTTGTTAATTAAAGTAGAACTTGAAATTTTTTTCAATAAGCTTAAAGAAAACCATATTTGCTACCTTTTTTGTGAACACAGCTAGTTCCTAAACTGTTTCTTTCATATGGAATTTTCAACCAAAACATTTAAAACGTTAATTAAGCTAACTTATGAAGCCGCAATTTTAAATTTTTTATTCTAAACATTTACTGCCACGAATTTTTAATTCTTTAGTGAAAAAATTTTTAAGATTGGTTTATTAGTTGCAGAGATATTGCATTTGCAACATAGTGTAAAATCGAATTTCCTTAAAATTGTTCGTGACGCTTAGCACTTTAAATTAATTTTTTAACTATAGTACAAAGTCAAAATGTCACTTATTATATACCAAAATGCAGGTCCTGGCGAGAGATTTTAGAAAAACATCAGCTGATCAGCATTATTTGCATTAAGGATTTAAAAATTGTAAATTATTGCTCAGCGTCACGAACAATTCATTTTTGATCTTGCCCTTTGTTTTCAAATAAAAGAGAAGAAGTAAAAAGAAACTTTTCCATCATGATGCATGTTGTGGGATAAAACTTTCTTTTATTGTTGGATCCATAAAATGTCAATGACAATAGAATAAGTAAGAGAAAAGAGAGATAGAGCAGATGAAAATTGCTTTACAATGGAAGTAAAATATGTTGATGCAGTGAAGAGAGCGCATATCTTTGGCTTAATGTTGAAAATTTAAAAATATTATTTTTTTGTAAAATAATAATAATTTTGGAAAATAAGAATTATTTGAAAATTTGATTGTCAAGACAAACTATCAACCCCAAAACATACAACTTTACTAAAAAAGCATGCGACAAAAGAGAAAACTTTTTTGTATGTTCTCAATTTTTTATTAAGCACTCATGATGCTGGTAGTTCATTCGTGTTTAGATCATTGACGACTTATTCAGAATAAGTCAAGCAGACAAATTAGTTGTATTTGAAAGAGACATAAGAAGGAAGTCGAAAGGTTGAGATAAAATTCATGAGTTGAATTGATTTTTTACGAAGGTCGAATTTAAAATAAGAGAAAGAACAGCTAATTCAGGAATCTCGAATAAAAGTTGCTTTTAATAGAGCTTTTAAAGAGCTATAAAACGATAAGCTACAGTTGAGGTTAAATATATCAACTATTAAACTTTTAATTGTGCTTAAAGAAAAGAAAGTCAACGAAACTTTTTGTTGAATTAGGCGATCATTAATTGGCTTGAAAAGTAATAAGTTTTATATACAGATATTGCTGGAATGTTTTATTGAAGGATCTACTCAGAGCTCGATTAAATTTTGTATGGAGTCGAGTCCACTCCGCGTCAAAAATCTCAAATCGGACCATGGAATTGATTGCAGATTTTCGTCAATATTTATGTTTAAAATATGATAATATTTATTAAATTCAAATGTTTTATTCGACAACAGCTTTATAAAAAAAAGTTCATATTTCTTGCAACAAAAAAAAAACTACCAAACCTCAAAATGAACAACACAGTGTCAATATCGTACACATATTATACGCCCCAAAACACACAAAAGCATGCGAAGGTGTATCATGCATGATAAATTAAGTGGTGGAATAATTTTGCTCACACACAAAAATAAAACAGCATATTTCGTGTACAATGTGAGCATTTTCAACTCCAAAGCCACTCGTGGGTATGATATTGATCATGTAAACAGTCCCTCGTTACACGTAGATAAATTATTTGTTATTTGTATTTTTAATGCTCAAACAACTTACTTCTACTTTATGTTTTTATAAAAGAAAATAATCCATAGACTAATGTGAATGTTTTTGTCTCATTTTTTATGTCCCTTTACAGCTCCGAAAGCCTCAGTCAACTCAGTCAATTCCATCGATGAAAAGTGGAAATCGTGACAACACCAAAGATGTTGCAGGCAATGAAGAGGCTGGTGTAGCGCTTGTCAATGTTCATTCGGAATATCCCAGGTAAATTTTCGAAAGTAAGGCTATAAAGCTTTCAATTAATAAGAAAATTCTTTTTTACACAGGTACATGGAGGAGCGAGGCTTAGGTGGCGGCGTGTACAAGAGTGTTTCGGGATCACAAGATAAATCGAACGCCAAACAGAAACCAAATGTCGGATATCGATTGGGTAGACGAAAAGCATTATTTGAAAAGAGAAAGCGCATCAGTGACTATGCCCTCGTAATGGGAATGTTTGGAATTATTGTTATGGTTATAGAAAATGAATTAAGCAGTGCTGGTGTTTATACGAAGGTAAGCTTCTTAACATATAAATTATCTTCATATTTCCACATAATGAACATGAATCGTTATGACACATTCATGAAAGAATTTATGGATTTTTTTTTCCTTCTCTCTTGTTCGTCCCCTCGTCAATTTTATGCGTCACATATTCTCAGAAATTGATGTGAGATCGTAAAATTATTATGTACGCAATTGTAGATGAAATTCTCCTCATTTATACCTCAATCATTCTCTCAATCTCTAATGAATTCAATGTCATTGAGTTTTATTACTTTCTCTGGAAATGCGAAATGACATTAAGGCGATTTGAGTGCGTTTTACTCTGTACTTTGGGAATATGTATGGAATAAGCTTTGGTGGTTTTTAATGATTGAGGGTAAAATAAAATGCTTTTAAATGTCAATAAAGCTGCTAATGATAATTGAAATAAAATATTGCAAATAATTATAGAAAGTGACATTTAGCGATGTTATTTGAGGTAGCTATGATATTGGGAACAGGAAGAACATCATAAGTAGGGTGACCATCTGCGTAGTTTTTCAACGGACAGTCCTGTATTTTTCAAGACTGTCCTGTATACATTTTTAAATTTTGTTCTTGGTCCTGTTTTTTTTTCATGAAAATTTCCGGGAATTTTCGAATTTTACTCTATGTCCTGTTTTTTTCGAAAAAAATTACCAAATGTCCTGTATTTTCATGAAAATTAGATGGTAACCCTAATCATAAGAAACCAAAAATAATATGTCGATAAGAATTAGGTACATGCACGACATAAATGTATGTATCTGACGATCTATACAAGCGATGAAAACAAGAGAGAGAAATAATAAGAAAGTAAGATAGAAATGACAGAATTTCTTCTGCCATCTTGAGACGTGACATAATCAACACACAAGCTCATTGTTCATGACTGGAATTTATCATGGGATTCTCTTCATCTGAATATTTTCTTCTTCTTATTCTTATGTTTTCATTTCACAATGCTTTATACTATTGACATCGTAGAACACTTGATATTCCCACATCAACCATGTGCGTCGTTTCTCCCGCTAAATTCACAAAACGCATAAAATATGTTTCGTCTGAGATGAAATTCAATTTTTTTTCCAAACATTCAGAATATTTTTGATAAATTGTAAAAGTTCAGAATAGAAAAATGATGAATGGAATAAATTCACAAGGCCATAGTTCTGAATAGCACAAATTGTTGTCGCTGACTATCTAACATGTTGACATCAAGTCTATTTTCGTTGTGCATGTTCATGGCTTCATGCAAGACATGAATGGAATATTGACATCAAACTACAGTAATGTGGACTAGATTGACTCTCATTGATAAAATATTTAAGGAAGCCACAATTATTTTTTTATTTGTCAAGGATAGAGAGAAATTATTATTGATTTAATGTCAGAACTAATGCTAGACGTTGAAATGTAATGGAATAAAAGGAAATATAAAAATCTGGAAGTAATGTTGATCGAATTTTTTGTTATAGAAATTAAAAAAAATGCTAAACTTTATTTTTGTTTTAAATTATTTTATAAATTTAGAAATTTGCAAATTTGAAAACATCATTAGATGTATTTTCTGCAGCAACATTAACAATATTTCTACCTAATGTGTCGTTTTCTATGAGAATTTTTAAAAACTCATTTGACTTGAAGTCATTTTGATAAAGTTTTAAAAAAACTTCAAATGTTTATTTATTACCCGAAGCAGCAATATTTAAAATATTAATATCTTGAGAATCTTTAAACAACAAGATTTCTTTAAATTGAGAGTCAGAAAAATTAATTTTGACTATTTCAAATGCAGCATAAAGGAAAGAATATGTGTATTTGTTTCTATTAACAAGCAGATGAAAATAATTCATACCGTAGTCTTTTTCCTTAATTGCAAAATTTTTCATTTCTTCGCGATTTGGAATGTTTTTGACAAAACTTCCCAAATAGTTTTAACGGATTCAATTGTATACGAATATGCAGCTTCATGAAGAATATTACTAATATAATAATGCTTTTGTTTAACAAGGTCAATAAAGGATTCTGTAGCACCATGATTTGCACAAAACTTTTCAACTTCTCGCCATATAATTTTGAAACTTTTCTCATTACAAAACAACATTGAGTTCATTAATACATTGTATTTCTTAATATTACAATTTTGCATTATTTTTAACATTTCATCGAACGATAGAAATTTTCTCGTAATTTCTAAGAATTTTCTTACTTTATGTTCAGTTATATTTTTAAAAGAGCATAAACAACAGAAAATATTGAATTCGAAATAGTCATAGATTTCCATTTTAAGTGTTTTTTGAATGAATTTCCGATCAGTTTTTACTTCTGTTATTTCAACAAATGTCTCAAACGAATCTGTTGCATAGGCCGGGCCGAATAATTCTCCAGAATTATTCTGCATAATAATTTATTGCATTTTGCAGAATTATTCTGGAGAATTATTTAAAATTCTGCAGAATTAATTCTGCTTAAGAAACATGCGAATCGCAAAAAAAAATCTGGAGAATTCTGTAACACAATTTTGCAGAATTATTCCCCAGAATTCTCCAGAATTTATTTCAAGCAATGTCACGCAACATATATGCAACATTTTTTTCAAACAGAATAATTCTCCAGATTTTTCGAAAATTCTGCTGCAACAAAAACGTCATTAGAATTAAAAAACACATTTCTGCGAAAATATATGAAATATTACTTATTTATTCTCAGTATTAATACTAGACATTTCAGAGTGATATTCTTTTACTTTATTGTTTGATAAAATTTATGTGTATTATTTCACTGTTCATTCATTTTCCTCGGGTCTTCTTTACTTAGTTGTGGATGGGACGATACAATAAAGCAGATTGGTGTGTCTCACACTGCAAATGTCGTACAAACAATGACGTCGAAGGTCATAATAATTTCATTAAATTAACAATGCGTCGAAATCCTTCTCCGTGGACCTTCATAGATAGTTTGATCGACTTAGTTTATGATTCTTTGGCAACAGTTGCAGCTAATAAGCGAATCAGCTCTCAAAATGACAGAAGTAAAATTTCACGGGTTTTACCAAAATATTTAAAAATGATCGAAGAAAATCGATTAACTGAGCTTGAGTTTTTAGAAAAATTAATTGAAATATATTGATCATAAGTAAAACTTTATAAATAATAGAATTTTTGTTGGTTTTGGTTTTCTTTTTCTTTAATAAATAATTTCATATATTTTCGCAGAAATATGTTTTTTAATTCTAATGACGTTTTTGTTGCAGCAGAATTTTTGAAAAATCTGGAGAATTATTCTGTTTGAAAAAAATGTTGCATATATGTTGCGTGACATTGCTTGAAATAAATTCTGGAGAATTCTGGGGAATAATTCTGCAAAATTGTGTTACAGAATTCTCCAGATTTTTTTTTTGCGATTCGCATGTTTCTTAAGCAGAATTAATTCTGCAGAATTTTAAATAATTCTCCAGAATAATTCTGCAGAATGCAATAAATTATTCTGCAGAATAATTCTGGAGAATTATTCGGCCCGGCCTATGCAACACACCCGTTTTTGACGTATTCACTGACAATGCTGCAATGTTATATATAATAAGGATTTTTGTCACCCTAGACGAAATTGAGCATTTTAATCCTGTAATATCGTGAGCATTCCGCCAATCCATCAAGATCTCCATTCTGTTGCCTAACCACTTGCTCCACAGATGCGATACCCTTATACAAGTGGATTCGCCTATTATAAGGATTTCATTCCCTAGATTTCACTCTGCGCCGACACCACATATTCTCTGTGGATAGAATGTAGAGCATTTTAAAATATTTCGTTGTTAATGCTGCTCTGAGTCAACGTTCTGTCAACTCTATCTTTTTCTATAGCATTGTTATACTGTTTCAAAATATCTGATCACCCCTAAGATATGAATCTTCAATATTTATGCAACAGCATCATAGATACATACCACTTTAAACAAATTTAAAAACTATAATTTAATTAATTGACTGTTGACTTTTCTATCCTTCTATTTTCATCGTCTTAATGAGAGAAGTAAGTAAAAGCATTAAAAGTGTATCTTGTTCTTAAAATGCATGAAAATGAAGAAAAGCGTAGAGAATTAAACAAACATCTAGATCTTAAAATGTTTGTCTTACTGTTGTACTCGTGTACAATTTTTATATTTATTTTGTTTGAGCTTTTTTATGCATTTATGCTCTTTAGTTCTTTGTTTCAATTTTGCTATTCACACAGTATGAAATAATAAGAGAGGTGTATAGTTTTGAGTGCTGTATATTGTGAAAAATTTATGAAAAGCTTTCAGAAAGTCACTTTATTTGTTACGTTGTTGACTAACCTTTATTGTATTGAATTAATTTATATGCACATTCTTTTCTCGTTGTCAAAGGTTTATTAGAGAATTTTTAAAGTTGTCAAAATTTTCATTTGTTATAAATTTATTAACAATTTTGAAAAAATTAAGTTTATTACGTTTTATAATAAAATGCACTTCCCAGTTCTGCACTTGAATCTTTTTCCGACTTGATTTTTTATTTCCTCTATTTTCATATTTTTTAGTTTTATAAAAGTTTTTTTCTGTTCTGTACTTTATTCTCCTAAGACTCTTTCAGTCGTCTTTTTCTTTTATATTTGAAGCTTTATATTTTGAAATGTCAAAAGAGCTTGATACAAAAATATGTAAAGCTCGCAAGGCAAAGCAGAAGAGCATCTTTTGAAGTAGAAATCTATTGAATCCAATTTTAACAAATTGAACTTTGATGATAAACATTGAATTTTTAAACAATAGTCAACAATCAAGCAAATATAACTTCAAATTCCAGCTATCAAATTTCTGTCGGTAGCCGACCTTGCTAGATCAATGATTCCTTATTTAATTGATTGGATTTTTATATTTGAAGTTTTTTAATTCAGAATCTCCATTTTAATTCATTTTAAAGAACACAATCCTATGAGAAAATTTCTATTGAGTTATATAAATTGACAGTTTT